CCCCTGCTCGCTCAACTTCACCACCCCGCCGTCTGTGGCGCTCATTTCCTCTTTTGTATTTGGTCCGTCCTGTGACTCCCGAAGGGTTCGTTTTTAACTAAATTCAGTCTAGTGCAACTTTCGCCTCCCCGTTGTTTCACTTATGTCTTCAATGCCACGCCTTTATGGGGGGAATCCTAACGCTCTTTTCATGCGGATCGCCTCGTTTGTTGCAGAGGTTGGCGGCCTGAGCGACGTGAAGGTGCAGATGCCGCAGTCCGCCAGCCCGGGGGACGACGTGTACATGCGGTGCCTGTACAACCTCGACAACGACCAGCTCTACACCGTCAAGTGGTACAAGGGCCGGCAGGAGTTCTTCCGCTACGTGCCCAAGGAGCTGCCCAACACCAAGGTGTTCCCGTTGCCGGGCGTCAATGTCGACGTGAGTATCTTTACACGCCCACACGTATCCCCTGCTGCGAGAGAGCGCTGGACCGCGCCAGGTGTATTCTTGCTTTGAGAGGGGGGGCCTCCTCTTGTTTGCTGTTTGCGCTCGCAGCCGCCGTAATGACCTGCTTTTCATGTGTTGCCTTGCGCGTCACGGCGACAGAGACATGTGAGTGTCGTGCGCGGGCGCGGCGCGGGCGCGGCGCACGCCAGACTGCCGCGGCGACCCACATGTGTAGTTCAAAAGGACAACACCGCGGGGCTCTCCGCGACCCGCCTCCCCCTCCTCTCCACCTCGGCTTGTTACGATCCGCCGCTGGTGGTCGCGTTATTGCAGAACTAACCTGTTTTTGGCGCGTAACTCGCGTGTCGTTCTGGTTCGAGTTAACGGGCCGAGAGAGTAGGCAAACCTGCACTACCACTGTATGGACGGGAGGAGGGAAGGCGGAAGGTGGAGTGTTTTTTGGGGGATGAGGGATCGGTTTGCTGCTGCTCTTGCAGGTGGACTCCCTCCCCATACAAGGGGGGTGGTAAGCATGGGGTTGGGAAAGTCAGGAAAGGGGGAAGAGGGGGCGCTCGTGTGTGCTCCTTCCTCGTTCTCTTTGTCGTGAGGTCTTAGGGTCGCCACCGCGGGGCTGCTTAAACTGTGCAAACCTTAAACACTCCAGGCTGCGGGGGATGTGTTGGAGCTGTATATGATTGTCTCCATTTCCCTCGACGACTCGCGTGTGCGCGTGCACGCGTTTTCGCCTGGAACCATTTCGCCAAATAGCTTTGGGCTGTGTGTTCGTGTGTGTGTGGGAGGGGGGGGGGGCAGGAGGGAATGGTGCCGCAGGTGAGGCCGTGTCACTCACTTGGCGCGCTGCGCCCCGGACCGGTCCGCACCACACCTGCCCGCTGCATATTCATACCCGGCCTGGGTAACGAGCGTCTTGAGCGGGAGCGGGGACGGGTCGGCGGGGCCGCTGAGTGGCGCCGACCAGCTGGGCCGGGTGGAAATGCTCCCCGCCGTACCGCATCTCCCCGCCACTGGATGCGGTAAAATATTTTGGGTCCCTGCTCCCTCTATACTCCCGACCTGAGAGGGGGGGGGGGGGCTCACTGACGGACAGGGCGGGAGGTTTCTGTCCGCGTGATCCTCGCAGGAGGCGGGTCGAACCTTGCGGGGCTGCCTGCCTGCCTGGGCCGCACAGCAGCTGTCCGAACAGCGGTAAATCAGTGAGCGGCTTAGCTTTCGTTTGGAAACTTGGGTCGAGTTGAACACACACACACACACACACACACACACACACACACTCACACTCACGCGCAGCTCGGGCGAGATCCCCTGTGAAGCAGAGGGGAAGGGCGGCGTGTGGTGGGGCGGGTCCGCGCGCCGTACGCGCGATCCACCCGGATGTGGTGTGTGTGGGACTTGCTGGCAGCTTGTGTAATCCAAAGTGGGGGGGGGGGGGGGGGTAGGTTGACTCGCTCGCAGCTAGTTTTACACCTCACACGGCAGTTTAGGCGCAAGTGCAGAACTAACTTGGGGCTCCGCCTGCCGTGCTCGCAGGAGCGCGCTGAAACCGTCTGGTGGCGTTTGCGATAGTACGTACGTCCTGCGAGTCGCGCGCGGAGCCTGGCGGAGCCCAAGCCAGCTAGGGCCCGGCCCAGGGCCCCCCTCATTAACCCGGAGTGCAGCCGGCGCTATCTGCTCGCACTCACGCCTCATCCCGATGCCACACCGCCACGCGAGTACTTTCCCTCGCTACACGGGCGTTAACGTGATTGCGAGTTTGTATTTGGGGTCGAGCAGTCTCGTGGTAGTGGTGTGTGTGTGTGTGTGTAAAGGCCCAGCACAGGGAGGGCGCCGCCCGACAGACCGCGCCGTACACTTTTTTTTTTGTACCCGCCTTTCACGGCGAGGACGAATATCCTCGAGGGCAGCTGCTGTGCCCTCGGCGCGGCGCCTCTACGACGTACGGGCACCCTAACCCCCCGGCCGGGGGGGCCACCCTAGTAAGCCCGGCCAGCACGCGCCCTCACACGGGCTAACCGCAATTGATGGCTGTGGTCTGCCGGATATGAGGGAACCTAAGGCCCCCCGCCCTCCTCCCCATACGTACCGCGCCCTCTGCCGGACTTGCGGTGGTGGCGGCGGTGGGGTCCTGGAGGGCCGGGCCGCTCGGTGTGCCATGAGGCCCCAGTGACCCGTACCGGAGCTCCCTCCCCCCCTGGGGGGGCAGCTCGTCGTGCGTGGGAGCCAAGGGGTCTGCCCCTGCCGGCCCCTGGCGGCCCCTGTCCCCGGCGGGGCGGTGTGTTTGGCGTGCTTAGCGCTGTGGTCAGGGCGCCCCACGACACTGCAGCTGCTGCCCCGGGAATGCACATCGGCGCTCTGGCTGGACACCACAGCCATGGGTTACACCATGTCGAAGACAACCTCACGTCTTGACATCTTTGATTGAAACTGAAACCTCGACTGAAACCACCCACGGAAGTGCAAGTTTACATCTGTTGCGCATCATAAAATGTGTGTGTGTGTGTGTGTGTGTGTGTGTTTGTGTTAGTTGTGTACCGTCAAATAACATTGAACCGTGCGTGGACCACCTCTGTCTGGCTGCTCTTTGACACAGGGTAAAAACGATGTCTCATTTTTTGAGGGGAAAGGGAAAACTTTGAGGAACTTCCATATTTGAGGAAAAACTCCTCTGATTTTGCCTCAGATTTTGAGGAATGTCCTCCAAAAATGAGGAAAAATCCCACATTTTTTCAGGAGGAATCCTCGAAATCTGAGGAGATTTTCATAAACTAAGGCAGTTCCTCAAAGTTTTCCCTTTTCGCTTGAAAAATGAGACATCGTTTTTACTGTGCACGAACTGCAAAAATTAGGGGGCACATTTAGACCTCAATATGTGCCACATTGCAGCAACAATGTGATGGTCCAAATCACACGCATGAGCACGACCACCGGTTCTCTTGTGGCAGCTCTCAGCGCTTTAGCTTGAACGCCAGGAAAGTGTATACCGCACTACTTTTATAAAGCACCCTGTGATGGAAGGAAGTGAAATTTCATTCCCGTGTGTTGAGCCCTCGCCCGTCTTGCCTTTTCGCCCGTTGCACCAGCGGCAGTGTCGGCTGGCTACCTGAGGAGCTCTGTCGAGCAGCCGGCTGCGGTACGGGGCCGGTACTGGGCCCTCGGGAGCTGTAGGACTGCGGATTAGGCGTGCAGGTCCAGCCGGCCCCGGCCCTCCGCGCGCGCTTCCTTCTTCTCTCCCGTTCACGGTCGGCGGCATGTTGAGGCTGCTCTGTCGTCCTGGAAAGGGAAATTCGCGTTCCTTTTTTTTCTCATTCGGTTGAATTTGATCCCCCCCTTTTGCGACGGATCGCTCTCAGAGTGCTGCCCTGGCAAGCTGGCCGGCCGCCGCGCCGTCTTGTTGCGGTCCCCTTCCACCCGCC